GAAGATAACAAGTTCTGCAGCTCAGAGACTTTTAGCTACAAGTAGTCTATTTCTGGTCTTGATAGGCAAATTAATGGAAGAAAACTCCAACTGCTTTCTTAATCCAGATATGTTTCTGGCACCTACAGCTTAATGTAGTTCCACAGTTTAACTTCTTGCTGTGTGAAGATTGCTTCTGGATGTTTTGAGCCTTCTGTCTGGTATTTCCATTTGATGTCCCCTGACTTTTGTGTTAATTAACCACGAATTATCATTCTATCTTAACTACTTCTTAATGCCACTCCTTGTTTTATAGATTTGTATCACAGATTCCGTGCACTACTACCTCATTCATCTCCTCTAGGCTGAGGAGTCTCATGTTTTCCAGGTGCAGTTTCATAGTACCTCAAACAAATTTAAGTTGGAGCTTCCATCTCGCTACCTCAGACTGCATGTTCTTGCTCCCTCCTGGATTTCACGTGCTCCTGATTGTGTACTCCTGTGGAGTGCAGCTCTTCTCTCACCTCTTCCTTTATGCCCTCCCTACTGGAGACCTCACCAGGCCATGGGACCCCCTCAAGAACCTCCTCAACTCTGGGCAGGCTGGCCTTGCGTGCCATAGCAACAAGCTCCATGGGGAATCTTAGTGCCTGCAGGGCTTGTCCACTCATGTCCCCAGGCCGGGCACCATGGAATGACATCCAGGTTTGGTGGCGTTGTTGGGGATGCTCAACAAAAAAAAGGCTTTGTTTGTTTCAGAAGGATGAACATCTTTGTAATTAACCAAAATTTGTTTCCAGCTTCGCTGAAATTTGACTATCTAAGGAAAAAATACAACCTGTCAGGTTACACTTACAATAACGAGTCCTAAAATTAAACTCACTACAGAGAGGGACTCCAAGTGAAGAGTCACATATTTGTACCTTGTTCTGTGGAGGCTTTAGAAACAGCATTGTGGGAAACCTTCCCCTGTAGCTACAGGTATGGAAATGCCTAACTGAATTACATAGGATTTACTGATGTGTCACTTGCTCTTTTATTTGTCATACAGAATAGTTCTGTTTAAACTAGTCTTTGAAAGCTTTCAAACATGTTTTTTTTTTAAAGCAAAGCAGAGACAGATTTATTTGCTCTCTATAAATAAAGCTACGGTCAACTAGCAATACTCTGAGGGTAAATGGCATAAATGGAATACTTCTAAAGGCTTCAAAACAGGTAGCTAACAAGCCTATTGTCAGGAGTTTACATTCACTATGAGAGCGCAGAAACGCCTTTGCAAACATTTTAGGAGTCCACAAACAAAAATTAAAACTGCCTTTATGTAACAGTATGTCATACTGTCTTTAAACCCAAATCTGCCTGAAAGAATTCTCATTTTCTCTCATGTTGCAACTGCTTTGTATCTTTCCGGTAAGAAAAACCCCAGCAGTGATCTCTCTGGAATGTGACCAGCATAACAGAACTTCCAGACAGTCCAATTGCTCTGAACCAATGCTAATTTTCATCCTGATCACAGAAGTCAAATAGAAGCAAGAGAAAGGTATGTTGAGAAGAGACTAAAGTGAATCTAGAAGGCTTTTCACCCATGATTCAGGGCAAGCTTGCAAATAGTCAACAGCTTCTCACCTCATTCCCGATATCAGCAAAGGGATTGCATAATGTCAGCACTTTTAATCTAAGTAGTAAATCAATATTTGGAGCCTTGTGGGTTGTTTATTTATATTAGGAGCAGTGACTGGTGAAATCAACTATTTCTTTGATGCAATCCTGTTTCTTCACAGAGTGTACAGTTAGAATCAAAAAACCAGAAAACAAATTTTGTACACAAACTTCGCCACTTTGTAGTAAGCCCTCTCCAGAAAAAGTTGCCTCAGTTTTGTCTCAGGCTGGTAAAGTTTTCATGCATTCCCTTTCCAAAAAAAAAAAAAAAAGTATTTCTGCTACTTCTCAATAAACTTAGAGAACATCATAAAAAAAACCCTGAAGCACGTTAGACCTCGGCATTCACTCTGCTCATCAGGACCAACATGCTTTTGTTCACTCTAGATCTTTTCAACTGACTCTTAGGTTTTAAAAGACAACACAACAAAACCGACATAGCGGTCAGTCATACACACTCGGTGACACAAAGGATTATTGATCTCTCCAGAGAAGTGCATTTCAAGGAGGAATTTCAAGTGGGGGGGGAGTTGAAGGATGGCCTGTTGAATAAAGGGCAGTGTTTTAAGAGAAGGGGCCTGCTTCCAAATGTGGGAATCGTTTTGTTCTTTGATGCCTTTTGGTCAAGCTACTTCCATTCCCTACTTACTCTTATACATGAAAACTGATTGGAAAATTATCTGCAAATCTGTTTAGAACAGTTGCCATAAAAGAACCGATTTCTCTATTTTACATAAAGAATAAAACGATCTCTATCTCATCTAGTATCTACAGCCAACACACTGGGCCTATTGGGGAGGAGCAGGGGAAAGGTAGAGACAAAGTTTGCTACGTCTTCTGAACTAAAAACATTTAACCAATTCTGGTACATTGATCTACACAGATACGATACGACTTCTCATTCTGAGTCAGTATGTAGAAGAGTGTACAGCAGTTTGGAAGCCTTGAACATATACTTGCATTACATAATTAAATCTTTGTTTTAAGCCATATTCCATACATGAAACAGAAACATGTAGCTGCTCGCAGAAATAACATTTGTATTCTGTAAAAACTTCACATTCATTACCTACTCAGATCCCTGCAGGGTTTAGAGCTACTTTTTATTTCCAGAGGTAATGCCTGACAGTAACTTTCTGCCTGCTTAGGCAGTAAGAGAGACAACTTACTGTAGCAGTACCCAGATATTATGCACCACAACACCTAAATATCTGCAGCATTTCAGAGACTTTAACTGAGATATACTCAATTAATTCATCAGACATAGGGGGCTACATAGCACTACATACAGCCCAGTAGCCTTCAAGATACCATAGCTACGACAGCACAGAGTCATGATTTTGTGCTTGGATTTTGATTCTGAAAGGCGGCACGTAGTTCTTTAATGATCTTGGGTTAAATCAGCACTTCATAGACGGTACCGTTGACCCCAGTAGGTTGGCACATCAGGTAACACCAAAGGAGGATGCAGTTTCAGTGTTGTCTTACTGTACAGTTTATGATAAAACTGAAAAGCCCTATCAGGAGCAGAGCTTTAGAGTATTAGATCCTAAAGAGGATGGTCTATGGAGATGGCGTTCCTGATTGAAGAATATACATTTCAAGAAAGGAAAGCAGTATTGATAGAGACATTGCTGATCTATACCACAAGAAATCTAGGGAAAGACTTGCCGCTCTAAATTTAGTTTTGTTAGTGCAAACAGTTACATGTCTTACTAGTAGAACATATGTAACTGTACCATCATTAGATCATTGTACAAAACAAAGTACTTAAAACTTTGAACAGCCATCACAAGGAGGACTTCAAGTAGTTCTCACATAATGAAATATGTTCTAGTGCTGCCTAGAGACATTAAAAAGAAAGAAAATAAAATGCTATAAAAATGATATATATATAAATGTTTTCTTAATTTTTCACAAGATCCAGTCTAAAGTGCACAACACAGTAATAGCCATAACAAGCCAGGTTGACTCTAAAGAGCCAATTAGATTAGGATAGGTTATGCCTAAAAAAATGGCTTAATAACTGTCATCTTCTGATCTATTTCACACTCTTCTCATCAGGACTTTTTGAGTCTTACAATTTCCTTTAAGGGAATCACAACATTTTAAACACTATGGTGCCCTAATTTAGTATGAAACCATTTGGGAAATTCATTAGAGCAAAGACTAAAATTCTGTAAGGACCTTGACCTCAATAATCTTGCTATTTACATATGCCACGGCAGAAGTTTGTCTTGATGGAAAGAGCAAGACCCACCTCCTAATGGATACTTCTTTCCATGACTTATTTTTTTTATTTAGTATCTAGATAACAAAAAAAATTTACTTGTTCACCTTAACTTTGTTCCAATCTGTCATCTGACCTCAATTTTTGTAAAAATATGATACTCGATTAAAAAAATAACACAAGTCCTAATCATGTATGCCCTGTGGGCTGGCTGCGGCTTCAAGTACATTTCTAAAGAATAAGTAACAGGCAAGTACAAGCAATATCCTGCGCTGCACTCCCCTACCAGTCATTCTCACGTATTCCTCCCAATTTGTAACGTGAGATGTCAGTAAGATTACAATGACTCAACTTACTGCTTATCTGTTTGCAGTCATTCCTGTAACTTTGGGGGGCAAACATGCATCAGTAGATTTGCATGAAGGACAGACATAAGCTTATGTCCAAAACGTGTTTTGGTACATGAAGGAAAACCTATTTTAGAATAACTGGCTTCCTATGTAACAATATGACTATTACACAAAGATTAAATGGTGGGTTTCTCTGTTTATTGATGTTTCAATTCTTAAAGCCAAACCCAAAAATCTTAAGGCTGACAGACTATGAGCTCTTTTCTGTACTTGTTAATGTAAAATAACATCTAAGAGAAATTTCTGAGAATTATTTGGTGATAAATTGGCAATCTACTTACACAAGTCTTCTTGTTAGTGTGAACTCCCTTGTGTAATTTTTTTAAACAAACTGTAAATGACTCTTGGAACATCTATTTCTATGATTATATATCCCTATAAGAATCAGTACAAACTCATCTGGCTTTCATCAGATATACCCTCTTTTTCTTTCAGGAATCACTGTGCCCAGAAGGTGAAATTATGGTGTGACAACAGAAACTCCAGCCCAAGAACAGAACTATTATATATGCTTTAAAGCGAGTAGGTAGCCTTCCTGTCTTAAAATATTCTACACATCCTGTCTAAATTACTGCAAGCTGCCAGTCTGCCCTGACATGCTCCAGCAATTCTGCTTCAGCTTGTTCCTGAACTTGTAAGGGAGTCCTTACAAGACAGTCTTGCAGCTTCCATCCTCTCTGTCATGATTTACAAGATAGAATACCTGTAAGAATCTCACTTACCCAGCTTGTCAAAATGGCAGGATTTTGCTGGAATTCAAATTATATTATTTTCATTCTGTCTCTGCAGCAAAACTTTTAGTCGTATCTTGTTTTTTTCTAGCACAATCTCTTTCTTCACAGGCTGATTGATCACTGCATTGTTTTCCATCAGTCTAACAGAATTGCCTCCATAGCAATGTGGACTATTGAAAAAAGAACACAAATTCCAGAAGAGTCTTTTAAAATGGTATTTATGGATAGCTTGCAGTAGTGGTACAGACCCCCTCAGAAATTTTGTGTATTACACTGAACAGTGTAATAAACATGTATGATTTTACTTTTCTTGGTCACCTTTTTCAGACCCTTTAGAAGTCACCCACAAAACATTCCCCACATACACTTTTATCTCTCCCATCCAGGTATGTCTATATAGGCTCTTGCTTACCTGGACAAATATGCCAGAGTAACATTCTTAGTAGCATTTTTCAGTCAACAAGTCAACATTTCCTTTGCCTAGTAGCTTCATTGTCAAAATCTGTGGGTCTCTATTGATCTGTTTCCATTCATAAACGTTTGTGGTATGCAAGATGTCTATCCATGAAAAAAAGAGAAATGACATACAAAGATGAGAAGTACACCTTAACACAGTGTCTTTCAAAAAGATAATTTGAATTCTTAGCTTAAAAAGTACTTCCCATGAGATCAAGGATTTGACTCAGCACTCAGATCTGTAGAGCAAAAGCACTTTTAATGAAGAATCCAGGTAAACTCCAATCTTTAACACTGTGGTGAAGTTAACGCCACTGTGATTGCTTTAAGTGCTTGCACTTGTGACATTGACTTCCCTTTTGCAGTTAAAACAGAAGACAACATACTTACACAATCAGTTTGTTCTATCAGTAGCTGCTACCTACTTGTACATGTTGTTCCTCAGGTTTACAAGTGAAGTCATATATGCAAGAAATATTAATATAATATGCTTCATTTACACAATACTTCTAATGACTCTGCTTTCATTTCTGTCAGTAGTTCTATTACAAGTTGATTCCTGGAGTCAATTATTTAATTTATTCACATGACACCAAATACGCAAATTGTTTGCAAAAGTAATTGCTACTATTGTAATAGTTAAGAAGTAAATGCTTGTGGATGAAACCTAGTTCCAAATATTGGCAGACACTAGAGCTGGGGAATGGCTGCATTCTGAGGTGTTCTCTGCTCTTGTACTCAGAATCCAAAACTGCATGAAAGTAGACACCACCACATTATCTGTAACGATATCTGGTTCCAAAGGACAGCTCACACAGCTGACAAATACCACGATAACAGTTTCTTTTTGTTCAGGTGAATAGTATCACTTACAGACCTATTTTCTTACTGGACAATGATAGTTAAGAAAGATGATGCCTGGGGGAGTTTCAGCTTCAGCCTATGCTGCCTAGATAATTTAACTTCTTCATTAATATACAATAGAAGCATCTTCAAATAAGAGACTTGTAGCAGCTTGAGAAAATTAGAAGGTAGTGCAAAAATAGGCAGGGTAACAAAAGGTACATTATATTCCCTAGTCAAACAGCCTGAGCAATTCCATCTTTTACCAAGTTTTAGAATATTATTTTCACAACTTCTTACAACTATATCACTGGGCCTAACAAGACATGTTCCTCTTCACAAACTTGGCCTTGCTTATCTCCCGATTACCAAGGCTACAAACAGCACTACGGCTACTTTTTCTTTACACTGTATTGCCCAGTATTTACAGTAACACCCTTCAGGAAAAAAGTCCAGAGTAGCATAAATCTTACTTTAGGACAATGGAGCACAGTAGTGGTGGCATCTTTCCTCTCTTCACAGTATGTGTTAGTGTATAACTAACCCACGGTATGGGTTAGTTCTGCCTACTTCTAATGACTCTGCTTTCATTTCTGTCAGTAGTTCTATTACAAGTTGATTCCTGGAGTCAATTATTTAATTTATTCACATGACACCAAATACGCAAATTGTTTGCAAAAGTAATTGCTACTATTGTAATAGTTAAGAAGTAAATGCTTGTGGATGAAACCTAGTTCCAAATATTGGCAGACACTAGAGCTGGGGAATGGCTGCATTCTGAGGTGTTCTCTGCTCTTGTACTCAGAATCCAAAACTGCATGAAAGTAGACACCACCACATTATCTGTAACGATATCTGGTTCCAAAGGACAGCTCAGGTATCAGCATTACACACAGCTGACAAATACCACGATAACAGTTTCTTTTTGTTCAGGTGAATAGTATCACTTACAGACCTATTTTCTTACTGGACAATGATAGTTAAGAAAGATGATGCCTGGGGGAGTTTCAGCTTCAGCCTATGCTGCCTAGATAATTTAACTTCTTCATTAATATACAATAGAAGCATCTTCAAATAAGAGACTTGTAGCAGCTTGAGAAAATTAGAAGGTAGTGCAAAAATAGGCAGGGTAACAAAAGGTACATTATATTCCCTAGTCAAACAGCCTGAGCAATTCCATCTTTTACCAAGTTTTAGAATATTATTTTCACAACTTCTTACAACTATATCACTGGGCCTAACAAGACATGTTCCTCTTCACAAACTTGGCCTTGCTTATCTCCCGATTACCAAGGCTACAAACAGCACTACGGCTACTTTTTCTTTACACTGTATTGCCCAGTATTTACAGTAACACCCTTCAGGAAAAAAGTCCAGAGTAGCATAAATCTTACTTTAGGACAATGGAGCACAGTAGTGGTGGCATCTTTCCTCTCTTCACAGTATGTGTTAGTGTATAACTAACCCACGGTATGGGTTAGTTCTGCCTGCAGAGGCTGTTCAGCGAGCTCTGACAATCACACGTGCAGAGTATGTAGTGGAGGACAATGTGCTAGTTCTCAGAATTTAAAGGATTGCTTAAAACAAAGCAGACTGATTTCCAAGACATGTTTTCACACTGGATTTATGTATGATATGGTGAGCTTTGAACTCCCAAAACACCAGATGCATCTGTCTTGGGCTGATGCTTCTTATGAGCAAATTTCTCATATTAAAACATAAATTCTATAATTTGGAGACTTACAAAGCACATAATGGAACATAATTTCACTCTTGCCCCTTCTTATCTCTGCTGTGTATCAAAGTTTGGTTTATATCTGAATACACTTCCTTATAAAGTAATCTTCTCTCACTACTTTTGTTTCTTTATGAATCCAGCCTGCAATCTGCTTCCACTGAAGTTAACTGCAAACTCCCAGTACTGCCGTCGGGAACGCGCTTTGTGTCCATGTTCACCAAAGCAGACCTGGCTGGCTGGGAGGAGGGGGCAATCTATTCCCCCAGACATCCCACAAGCTTTGCAAGGCTTTTTTGTGCAGTTGGAGTGCAAACAGTTGATTTTAAATGTTACAGAAGTGTTAAAACACCTTAAGCAGAAAACTCATCAAGGCAATTAATCAGGAAAGACGACAATTCAGTCGTCAGCTCCAGACCAGGGCTCCTTTGGGCAGGACAAAAGATCATAGAATCATAGAATGGTTTGGGTTAGAAGGGACCTTAAAGCTCATCTAGTTCCATCCTTCCTGCCACAGGACATGTCCCACTAGACCAGGTTGCTCAAAGCCCCATCCAGATGTCAGATTGTCCAATGACAGAAGAAACTACGTGTTTATACTGACACAATTCCAGCGTCCCTGGGTTGGTTGGTTTGTTTTCCAATGAACTCCAGAAAAAGCAAGCATTAGCTAGAGATCATGGGTAAAGGTGAAAAAGAAAAGGAAATCCAACCGTGTCTTTTTAGACTAGAAACCTTCAAATGTAAGTAAAAGAACAGAACAGGTGTTTTAGCCTCCCAGCCCATGAAAGCACCACTGGAAACAGGTCTGAGCCCACGACCGTATGCAGCACATACATACTCTGCAAGGAATTGCATTTGGACTCCTATCAGTGAATAAATGTGAATGTCAAATCACTAGAGCCCATTTTCAGATAAGTTAATGGGAAATAGTTTAGAAAAAAGTACCTGGGGTTAGTTACGTGCCAGGCCAGTACCAGTCTGAAGGATACTACCATAAACTGTGCCACTCGGTTTTGCTCTTGTCTTAATGTCTTCAGTCTATCCACAGAGTACTGATGGCAGCCAAACATTTAACTGTATGTTTTCACAACAGTGCCTGCAATTACCTTGTAATTCCAGGTACCACCTTTTATTGACATGCTTCTTAGTATTAGCCCATGCAGTAAAGAAAATGTAGAAATATTGAAACATCTCTGACTTTTGTACTACAATTAGGAAGTCCGAAACTTCAGCTTGAGCATTTGACACAATGCTGCTGAAGAGGAGAGAAATAAAAGCTACCTCCTTGTTCAATGTTACACAGATGTACACTTCCTTTCCCAGAAATGGCTGACCACAGGAGAAAAAGCCAATAGATTTAAATATTGCTATGCAGAATAAACAGATCTAATAAACAATTAAACAGATCTAATGAAGCTTACCTGTTGTTTTTTTTAACTGATTTGAATTTCTAGCTCTTTTTCTTCCATGGATTCCTTGTTTAACAAGGGCTGACCATTCATTGTACAACTTGTGCTGTTAATAATATAGAAGTTCATTCAACATTATTCAACATTTCCATCATAAACCATGTTGCCACATAAATCCCATGTACCCAAAATTCTGACCCAATATAAAATTCTTTTCAAAAAAGCAAATTGATCTCAAGTTTAAAAACACTCTTAGGCCTTTAACTAGTGAAGTCACATGTGGCTGTTTATATTCTTGTACAGAAGTTATCTGATCAACTTCAGCTCATGCACAGAGCTAGAAACAATAGAAAGCTTATAAGGTGGGATACCTTTTCCCCATACAGTTTTTATAGTGAAGCCTAGTTATCCTGTGAAAGAAGCTTTGTCCAATGCCTCAGGTAGGAAATTCAGATGAGAAAAAAACCAAAGCACCAGTCTCCTTGTTCAGATTTACTCACAACATCAGATTTATAATCAATGCTACAGTTTCTTCCTTTTTCCTCTATTAATCATTTCAAATATTAAATACCTTTATATTCCTCTCCAACATGCTACAACGGCACTTGAAAGGCACAGACTACTTGCAGTACAGGGGAAGCACCACAAACAGAAACAACATTCTAGTTTCTAAACATCTTTTACTTCTGCTACTCATTTAATGGTAAACCTATTACTTTCTTAATTTCTGTGACCTCTATCCAATTTTCTGTTTTGCTTTTTTTTTTTTTTGTAGTAAAACCAGGAAATGTTACCTCAATGCAATTCCTATTACTTTATACCCCATGCACAAAATTTAGGACCTTTCAGAATTCATCTCGCAAATAGACAGAATTAAACCCAGAGAAGCTATCACACAAAGCAAAGGAACGAGGACAGATATTTTCACAAAAACAAGACTCCATGAGAACAGGATCAGGCACCTAATGAGCTTCCATTGACTTCAGCAGCATAGGCCTCTGTCCTTACTAAGAGGCCAGCGACTTAGATGACCGAAATATTATCCAATATTATCAAATTAATCTGCAATATGACTCCGTTGACTTCTCTGGTGCTACATTGGGCATGAGTCTGGCCCAGATGCTGTAGAAAGTGTTGGCAGAAACGTAAGGGAGTTCAGGAAAAATGCCAGAGGATTTGTAATGAACAAGAGGCTTAAACAGTTTTAAATCAACCATCCAAGATTTCACTTTAGACTAATTATGGTTTTATGGTGTAACTTAATGGCAATTCTTCTTAATACTGGATTAAAAGTTTAAAATAAGCAAGCCATATTCAATACCATGAGACGTCTACAGTAATAATACCAATTAAGCCTAATAACCTCATAAGTCCATAGGTCTAAGACATTCCGCTGGGTGTTAGGTGATACTTCAGCCAAATACTGAAAGGTGTCATTCAGGCCAATAAATAAGTAGTTTTAGCAGAGCAAGATTAAAATACCTGCCATTAACCCAAAATAATCATAAATAAATGCTTTGAAGTTTTTATCTAATGATCAACATATTGCCAGAAGGATTCCTTTTTTTCCCCACAGGCTAGGTGAGGAAATTGAACAAGGATGTGTAATATTCAATGATAACATCAAGTTTTTTAGGCCTTTCTAGAGACAGAATGGGTGCAAATGTTGGAGCTGATATGTGGACTTTCTGAGAATTTTTGTTCAAGATATTTCAAAGCAAACTACCCCATTTGCAAAGAAGATGTGAATCCTCCCCCTTTCCCTAACACTCCCCTCTTTTAAGGACAGGAGAAGAAAGGAGGGAGAAGAAGCACTTGGGAATTAAATTCCATAATCTGATTGAGAATTTAAAAATCCTCGGTTCTACAAGGTTCAGGCTACTACATTCTACTCCTTACAGTCCAGCCAAAATATTGCAGATTATTCAGGCCATCCAACACCCAAAAATACATTGTGGAAGCCTCTTGTTTCTGCTAATAGGCAGATGTATCTAGGTGTTGGTGTAGCAATACTCAAGCAGGATTATCAAGAGTTAGTTAACTGTTTGTTTTGGCAGTCTATTGACACGACTTGTATCTATACAGCAAGCTCTATCCCAAATTCCTAGTGAATCATGCTGCTCACATACGTCACTGCTTTTCTTTTTTTAATGATCTTCTGCCAGACCACTCTATTTTTGTAGCATGACAGAGACCAGTGGCATAGGTGATTTCCGTTTCTTTACTAAAAATCACGTGCTTCAAAGAAAGGACAGGACATCTCTTTAATAGCAGTAACCACTACATGACTGGAAGCCTGACTTCTCTTCTCAGAGGTGCAAATCAGGCTAAACCCAAGCAGGACCTGGGCTGCCACCTGCTGCGCAATTTTATTTTTTATTCTCAATTAAAAATGCAAGACATTTTGTGACAAAGGATTATATTGCAGGATGCAGATGTCTAGCCTAATTTCTCTCAGAAAAACTCCTCAAGAGGGGAGGAGTTAGACACATACGGGAAGGGAGAAAAATGTGCCTTGAAGCAAAGGTGTGTATGCTGGTATGCACTCAGAGTGTTTTCATGCAAAATCAAACAGGTGCCTCAGCTGAGAAGGCTGTACCTATCTGCTCTGTGACATTAGTTCACGTGTGCACTATCTGCATGTTTACAACCCAATATACGTCAATCTCAGCAAAACAAATCCTCCCAAAATACCAACTACTGGTGACATTTAAACTGTTTTACAAAGTATGCGAGTGAATGCGTAAGAGCTATCTTTAACCCTACAGATAATACAAAGTTTTGGCTGAGTGTTCATCATACTAAATTGCACTCATCTGCTTGACCCAGGGTTTTTTTTGAAAGAAAAGCATATTTGTGGGGTTTCCTTATTCACAGAACAGATAAGTTGCCTCAGCTAAGAAATTTTCACATCAGCTGTACAAGGCTTCCCAGCAGACTCTCTTCAGTTACCAGGTAAGTAACTCACTATGAAGAGTTTGTCTCTCAGAACTTTTCCACCCATCTGTTACTGAAATACAAAGATATCTAACGAATAAGAGGAATATTGGACTAGTACCCCTTTGAAAAGCTCTTTTCATTCCTCATGAATATTAGATAGGTGCAATACTTTAAAATTAAGTATTGTCTTGGGGTGGGGGCAGACAGAAATTAGTAAAAATAAAGCAGACTAGTAAAACTTGATTTGTTGAGATCTATGTTACATCCATTACATAGAACAATTATCTCAGTTTGATTCACTAGTGTTCCTATGCTCTCTAAAACTATTATTAAAACTTGTGAGGAAAAGATGCTGAGTTGACTAAAATATTGACAAATGCTAACTGAAAATACAAAGTTTAAAAAGCTCACACAGGGCTACATGTTTCAGGTGGCTGATTTAAGTTATAGAGCAATTTGTGCTTCATATTTTAACAGGAGCAGGAGCAGACCCACCAGCTAACAAAACCATTCAACCAAAAGATATTTAAGAATTTTGGGAATACATTAAGATCTCAACACAGAAATCAGTGCGTTGGTAGGTTGTTGCACCATTGTTAGAATTTACTCTGTATTAGCAGGGTGCTTTGAACTTGATCTTGCACTACTCGAATGATTTGTTTGCCTTTGTCAGGTTTTATTTGGGGAAACAAAGTCAGATTCTGAAGTATTATAAAATAGTCGTCAGACTACATCAAATTATTTTGATAATACCAATTAGACAGGCAGTGATTATGCTGCACTTTCTTCCATATAAATATCTCCTCCCTGTCAAACGATTGCAGGTAGTATTCTCTGTTCACAAGATACCACTGCAAATACCTTCATGGGTAAAGATACCAGTTATATAGATACTGAGCATATTTTAAATATAACTTGTTTCACTTACATAATTTGCAGATGCCTCATGGCATTACAGAAATAGGAGAGGGCATGTCCTGGTATTATTGTGAAGGTTTTAAAGAATCTTTTAATGAGAAAGCTTACCTTATTCTGCTTGCCTGACTGAACATCGAGTTTTCTTTGGTCATCTGGCTGACATTTGTGCTCTTTGGACTTTATAAACAGCAGCAAATGGATCTGGAAAACACGAATAACTTGGAATGCTTCAAGCTGCAATATAAATATTTTTGTTACTTCTTTCCCCCTTTATTGGATAAAGTTTTCAATTACATGCTTCCGGAGGTCTGGCTACTCCTTTGAGTTATGAACCCACACTACAGTTTCTGCTTATCCCTTTTTCTCTGTTTCTAGTAAAGGCAGCCTTTAGGAAATAATTTGGGTACCTCTTTTCACCATTAGTCAGAGTTTCTAAATGGAAAGATCTCTTGCTGACTTCAATATGATCTGCTGGGTAAAGCACCTGTACTGAGTACCATAGCCCTGAGCCCCTGTCCAGGCGGGAAAAGATTGCATCAAGGTTGAGATTGTGGAAAAAGGCTTCCCAGCAATCAGCCAGAGGAGAGAACAAAAAGCAACTAGCTCTGAAGCACGATGCATACCAACAGCCAAGCTGTTAAAATGCTCACACATACACAGGGCACTAGTCCTGATAAATATAGAGAGCTCTTTTTGCCTCCCCTGCTCTAGTACTGAAAACTGTTATCAAGCATCCACTGAGGTAGTATGAATACAGGAGCCATCGACTACAGGATCCATCTGAATACTGAGATGAGAACATAAGCAGAGGTATTAAATCTGCATATGATGCATACTTTCCTGTTTCCTTCAAGTACCGTGTGTTACATTGGCCTAAGCAAAAAATCCCTCTTTGTATTTACACATCAACCCCTTTCAAAAAAATTCAATCCTTAAACATTTCAAGAAAACTTAATTCAAGTTATTTATCACTAAATTTCAGTCCGATGACTGCTGCAGTGTAGAGCTGGTTCCTTCTGCCCCATCTCATTTGAGAACTGCAAAGCCTATTTCCCTCTCCCAGCTGGAACAGGAGAGCACACGATCCCTGCCCGCCTCTCTGCAAACCCTGACGCCTCTTCCCAACAGCTGTTCTCTCAATGCTTGGTGCCTGGGCCACCACCAAACCCTCCAGTTTGGACTTACTGCCCTGACATCACACCTTTTGCAGAAAAAGGCATACGTTCTTGGTATTTAAAGTAAAATTCCCTCTTAGAAGAGCATCACGCATCATGCAGGTGTGTCATGTATCACTAGAGCAGAACCAGTCCAGTTCTCGCTCTCTCATTTCCTGTGTGTAGACAAGCAGTGGTAGCAACCTCCTCGAGACATAAAACAACAAAAAGGGTGCTGCTACGGAAAAAGAAAGAATACATTTTTTTATTGTATTAGTTAATAGAGCATTATAATGAGACTCTAAGAGGATGAACAACCACTAGAGGGCTCATTATTCCACGTAGTCTTTTTAACAAAAGGGTCAAATAAACCTTTAAATAACAAAGAACTTAAACTTGGCCTCTGTGTTGTGGGAGGCTCCTACACTTTATGAAATGCATAAACTTCCACAGAAACATGTGAGTATACCCATTTTTCCTCAATAACTTAATAAAACAATGTCTTTACATGCCTCACCATGGTCTTCACCATAGGCTACAGTGAAATCTCTGCTCTGGTGCCTTGAGCACCTCTTTCTCCTCCTTCTGCACTGCCCTTGGTGTCTGCAGATTGTTCCTTTCACATATTCTCACTCCTCTCACCTGGCTGCTCTTGCACAGCAGTTCCCCCCCCCCCCCCCCCCCCTCA